TGGCTGGCCCCAAAGACGACCTTTGAAACTAATTTTAACAGAGGTCAAAGTTTGTTCCACCTCCAGAATTAACAGTACGACATCAGTGACAGGGACAGGGTATATAAACTCGTTAAATAAGAATAAAAATGTACTTAAAGATCAAATTGAGTACATCAGTTCAAAACTAATATACGTGTCAGCCTGGCTCAGTTGGAAGCACTCTCGCCTCTTAGGAGGCTGTGGGTTCAACAACAACAACTACAACAACTTGCATTTATATAGTGCCCCTCACCCAAAGAGCATCCCATGTCAGAACTTTGAACTTATATAGTCTAGACTGACACTAGCACAGACCTGGAGTGTCTATATTGTGGGAGATGCTGTCCTTCAGATGAGATATTAAACCAAAGTCCAGTCAGAGATCTTAATAAGAATCCATTGTGGACTCTTACCCTCCTCAGACACAGAAACAAGAGGGATACCAACTGAGCTCAGGTTGCTTCTGGATCTTTGCACCAATATCTTACTTACTTACTTATTTCTCAACTTTTTTCATGCCAGAGACCACCTCAGTTTCTTCTTAACATGGCAGTCCAATAGCAAATGAGCCGTTCACTTCACATGGATGTTCAATTGCTCTATTCAAAAAGAGAAAGGAGTTTCTACCGGTGTCCTGGTCAACAGTCTCCCAAATAATATTGGTCATTCACTTCACTGACTGTATGTAGCACATTGCTGCACGCAATGAATATGTAACACATCAGTTAGCTGCTACATTTATCATCACAAACTATCTTGTGACGTGGTCCTGATGTAAAAAGTGCTATATTAAATTATAATAATAATCCTTGCATTTGATATAGCGAATTATCACGTCTCTGAGACGTCTAAAAGCGCTTCACAGAACATACTGTTAAGTGAATTGACTATTTTGTGGGAAAACGCAGCAGTCAATTGTGCACAGCAGTATCCCACAAACAGTCGTGGATTGAGTGACCAAATTATAATCATTAGATTTTTTGAAGGGATTATTACCCTCGAAAAAGCGATCTGCCAATCGACTAACAACTGAGGTCCTACTTACTGCTAGGTAAACAGACGTTTGTGGACAAAGGAAACTTGCCGAACATTTTGCTCTGCCAGGAATCAAACCCAGGTCCTTTCGCTTGTGAGGCAAGTGCTCTAACCACTGAGCTACAGGACTCAACAAATGTAAGAATGTAAGAATTATTTTTTATTATTGAAAGTCACATAACAATAATAAAAATAAAAGAAGGCAACAAACTGGAAATCGAAAGAGAAATCATAGATCACTTTACACAACAGAATGGGCACAGGGGGAGTTGTACACCCAACCTATCATTTCAGTATGAAGGACACCAAATTTAGCAGAAAGTATGTCTAAAGAATGAGGTAGGAACCATTTTTTAAACCAAACCAGAAAACTGTCCAAGGCACTACATCTTGAAAACTGTCCAAGGTACTGACCATAGGCACGGTCAAATAGGAAGGTCTTCAGGCGCGACCTGAATTGGGGCAAGGTGGAGAGATAGCAGAAGAGTGGTCCAGAGTTTGGGGGCGCAGTAGCTGAAAGGATTGTAATAATCCTTACAATTGATAAGGTGGCTTTCGCCTCAAGAGGATGTCTCAAAGCACATCACAGGATTCTATTGTAAAGTGTAGTGACTGTTTTTTGCAGGCAGACATGGCAGCTAATATCTACAAAGTAGTGTCCTACACTTCACTTCAGTTATCAGGAGAGGCTGGAGAAGCTAGGATTATTCTCCTTGGAGCAGAGAAGGTTAAGAGGAGACTTAATAGAAGTTTTTAAAATTATGAGGGGATTCGATAGGGTGAACAAGGAAAAAGTATTTCCCCTGACAGGTGGGTCGGTAACCCGAGGACACTGATTTAAAATAGTTGTTAAAAGAAACAAAGAGGAGGTGAAAAGAATTTTTTTCACACAGCAAGTTGTTCGGATTTGTAATGCATTGATGAAATGGTGGTGGAAGCCAATTTGATAACAACTTTTAAGAGAGAAGTAGATAATTTTGGGGGGAGGACAAGTTTGCAGGGCTATGGGGAGAGAGCATGGGAGTAGGGTTGAATTGGATATCTCTTTTCAAAGAGCCAGCACAGACCTGATGGGCCGAATATCCTCCTTGCTGTATAATTCTATGATTCTACAAACACCTACCAAGTGAATGGCCAATTTTTATCTGTATATTTTTACATGTACCCATACAATCCTATGGATCCTATTCCCATCAACACACCAATTTGAGTTTGTATACTCCTTTCACACAAAATAAACATCTCAAAGAACTTGACAGGTATGATGAACAAGGAAAAGGGAAACGTAAGGATGTTGACCAAAAGGATAATCAGAGAAATATGGTTTAAGGTTTTTAAAGTTTCAGAGGCCAGGGTTTAATGGCTGCATTGGTGGGATAAAATGTGTGCAGAGCAGGCTATTGTGCTACACTCATTCTTTTGACGGAGCAAATCTACCTGCAATCATTTCTGTATGTTTTGGAGCCATGAACTAAAGGTTGTAACGTGATTCCGTTATAAAAATGCACATACAGCAAAATTTTTAATTGCTTGGAATTCCCAAGAAGTGCTCTGAGGTTTTACTGTGCACGTATTGTGTTCAATACATACTTAAGATTATGAGCTCCTATGTTCAGGCAAACCTTTTGAAATCAATGCCCTCCTCACATTATTAGATGGATTGTTGAGCAAATTCCACTTTGTGCCACATTGGCTTGGACTCTGCTGAGTGGTTTGAGCCGATGTAGCTCATGATGTTCACGATGATTTGAGTTTGCACTGGCTCTATTGACTTGTCAACAAACATATTGACAACAGAAGAGGTGGGGATGGCTCCACTAATCAAATTGTAACAAAATAAGCCACCACAATACTGAGAACATAAGTGGTAGAGGAGAATGCAGAGTCCATGTTATAGGGTCCAATGGACACTAGAGCTTCAAACAGATGGATTAATACTATAGTCACATCCTAGATCCATCCTAGTGTAAGTCAAAGTCTTACATGTGGGTAAGCAGTCAGAGGCAACAACAACTTGCATTTATTTTAGTGCTCTTCATGTGGGACAAGAGAATTTCATAAAGACGGTGTTGGGTACTGAGCGAGGCAGAAAGAGGAGGTTGAAGGGAAAAGGTTGTAGGCAAGATTTAAAGATTTAGAGGGTGGGTGGAGTTCCAGAGGGTTAGGGGTGTAGTATCTGAGAAGACACTCTTGAACACTTCGAAAAGATTGCCACTGAAACTATTCTTTTTCAGTGTAAGCATTTCCAACTTTCATAACACTTTGCCATCAAGTGAGTGCACACATTGTGAAGAAAATTCTCCACCTGCACAAAAGATCTATCCTTTCCAAGCAATTCTAACAATAAGGTGAGAACACATCCACAAATATGATTTGGGAAGCTTGGGGTTCAGGCATTTCAAGGAGATGGTTTTGTGTCGAAACAGACAAAGTGATTTGGTCTCTGAGCAGATGAATTGTTCTTGTCTCAAAGTAGCTTTTCTTAAAAATGGCTTCCTACAGAAGCTGTGAGATCGAAGAAAGATTAACATCCTCATAGATTGTCAAGATCTAGCAAATCTAAACAACAACAAATTACATTTGTATAGAGCCTTTCACATCAGGAGGACGTCCCAAGCTGCTGGACAGTCAGGGATCCGTATACGAGCTTGTGGTTGGGATCAGGAGGAGTAGAGATCGGGGAGCGTAGGGGTAGGAGGGTGACCAAAAACGGTCGAAGAGGAGGGTTTTGAGATGGGTCTTGGAGGAGGCAAGTGAGGGGTGAGTTGGAGGGACTGTGGAGTTCTAGAGGGTGGGGCAGAGAGGCTGAAGGCCCGCCCGCCAATGGTGGAGTGGGCAAGGCGGGGGACGTCTCAAGACCCTCCTCTTCGACTGTGCCTTCGGCCATCCTCCTACCTTTCCTGCCCTCCACCCCATCCACGTCCCCCCTGACCCCAACTCCTAGCTCGGGTCGAAATCCCTGACTGTCCAGTGCCTTGGGATGTCCTCCTGATGTGAAAGCCGCCATACAAGTATAAACTGTTGTTGTTGTTCTCCCATCGTCATAACATGTCTGCCTGCTCGCTGAACGGAATAAATGTCACAGAAGTTAGTATGCATAGCTGACTCTCTCGTGCTTGCAGTGCTGAGAATGTGTGGCATTATCAGAGGTCCTTTCAATGGATGAGACTTTGAACTGAGGTCCTGTTTGTCTGTTTCGGTGGATGTCAAAAATCCTACAACTCTTTTCAAAAAGAGAAGGGCACGTGTCGTCAACAAGTTTCTCAAATAAAATTGGTTATTTGTTTTCATGGCTGTTTGTGGTCTATTGCTGTGTGCAATTGGGCTGCCACGTTTGCCTACGAATCCATATCCATTCCATGTTACAATAAACCCCGTGAGGTGCTTTCACACATCCTCCCGATGTGAAAGGTGCTATACCAAATGCAAGTTGCTAAACTGAATTGTTTGTGCCAACAATTAACAGCTGTAATTTTTCAAAAATTAAAATGAAAGCAATCTAATAACAATGGAACTCATAAAGTAAGGCTGGTCCCCATTTTTAAGATGCTAAACTGTACTATCTTATAAAAGGGGATAAAAGGCAAAATATTGCTTGTATTTTTGCTCTATTTTACACACACTGTCATTTGCTCAACCAATTCTTGTAATTTTTTTCCCCTTAAAAAGCTTAGGCAGGTTACTGAGTCCCAGAACTCCACAGGTTTTGTGCTCAGCCAGCACTGAACAGAACCAGCCAAAACTTGTGTGAACTCCAGGGAAATGCTGTCCTGCTGTCCTGGGTTTGGCTCAAGTCCCACAACCTGATCTTTCTGGTCTGAACTGGTTGTTCCCCTTCATTGCCAACTGGCTGTGAGCCACGTATGTGTGTCAACGTGCAGCAGAGCACAAGTTACAATGAGTAATGCACAAGTGGACAGACAGCCTGTGCTTATAAAAGCCCAGCACTGAGTGCAGAGCTCAGAGAGGGGGAAGCAGTTTGTGGAGTTATCTCTCATACAGTCTTTAAACAAGTGTGAGTATAGCAATTGCAGCCCAGTTTATTGGGAATTTTTTTTTGGGGGGGAGGTGATTTAAAAGTTTTCATTCATTAATTCAACAATGCTTTGCAAATGGTTTGTGTTTCTTATTTTAATACTTCTTTTATCTCTCCTCCTCTTTCTCTTGTGTTTTCTAGGATAGTTTAGTCTATTGGTTGGATCCACCCTTGGCTCAGTCTCATCTCCCATCAGCATGGCATCTGTCCCTTCGGCTGGCTGCCTGCTTGCTGCCCGGAATCAATACCACAGAAGTTAGTATTAAAACTTTTTGCGACTTGTATTGAGTTGGCAAACAGTCCCCTCTGAACAAAGATTTAACTGTGGGGTTAACATTTTGATTACTGGGATTCCTGAATTTACTTGTTTTTTTTATATTAAATATAAAAATGACATTTTAAATAAATATTAAACTAGAGTTATTCCCCCAGCTATGCTACAGAAATGTGTATTAAATTGACCCAAACTTTAACCTTGTGAGGTCCAGTGTGGGAGCTAGGCTTCTGACTCAGGGAATGGTTGGGAGATCACCTGGGTTATGTCTTCTGTCTGTTGTGCTGACTGACCATCAGTAAAGGTGTTAATCCCAGCCTGACTGCAACAGCTGCAATTATCCAACCTTTAAACTTAAAACGAAGCTTCACATAAGCCCCTAAATGTGAGCTTTGCCTCTCCTCCCTGGTATTTCGAAGACTTTTTAAGTATGGGAGTTGGGATTCAAGCACTGTGGTGGCAGGAGAACATTAAGTGTGTTGTTGATTCTTGACCAGGACTGCTTTTTTTTTCTACCTCTTGTCACATTACCTGCTTCCATCTGTACCTCACACCCAATGCAGCTGAGTCCCTCGTCCATGCCTTCGTAGCTTCCTGGCTGGAGTATTTCTAATGCTCTCCTCGCTGGTCTCCCCAGCTCCACCTTACATAAAACCCAATTAATTCCATAACTCTGCTGTCTGGATACTTACCTGCACAAAACTCTGTACCCCATCACACCAGTCTTTCCCAGGCTCCACTGGCTCCCAATTACCGAACGGATCAATTTCAAGATCCTCTCACTTGTTTTCAAATCCCTTCATGCCCTCACACCTCCTTACCTATCCGTTCTGCTTACCCCCAACTCCACCAGGCACCGCCTCCGCTCCACCTTCAGCCACTCTGTCCTGAAACTCTCCCTCAATCCCTCTGCCTTGCCCCCAGCCTCCCCATCTTCAAAAGACTTTTGATCGGGCTTACAATCACCTCCCTCTCCCCCAGCTCAGCGTCAGACTCCACCAGTGTCAAGCGCTCTGGGAAGCTACCCCATGTGAAGGGCGCTATATAAATGCAAGTTGTTGTTGCTTCCTCCATTGAATCCTAATCCCTATTTTTTTCTTCTTTCCCCCCCACCCCCACCATCCTCTACACCCTTCTTTTGCATGCGACTAGTAATGATACATTTCTTGTCAAGTTTAGTTATGTTTTATTTCTGGTTTGGTTCTAGACCGGCGCAATTCCACATCAAGTGTGTCTTCAAATGGTTCCTGCTGCATGGAGAATGCCCCGGAACATGAAAAGCCCCAGCAAGGTAAAAGATGTTGGCCTTGATGCTGAATAGGTTGTGCTTTTTCTTCACTTTCTCTTCAGTACAAAAATCTATATCCTGTTTTTATTTTTAGGTTTTCTTCTTACAGTGGAGAAGTGCTGGTGGTTAAAGAACTTTCTTAATTGTGAGCTTCTTCATCACCCTGCAAATACTGAGCTATCTGCTGGGAGGTAAGACTTGTTGCTGAATATTTTAAGAAAGACTGGTATCCACATGGCTTTACTAGTGCAAAACACTTGCCTTCTCTGTTGGTTAGAGCTTGAGAGTATAGAGATGGGATTTGTCTGCCTTTTCCCAGCTTCATTACTGAGCCAGGCCCATTACAACCAGTTCAACCCAAGTATAATGCTATTTGCCAACTGATGCAATATATTTTTATATATAGCATATTTCACTTGTGACCAGACTGGGTGAGGGAAGGGGAAAGATGACTGAAAACACGGTCAAAACAAACTAGCAAAAAGAGAGTTACTACATGTGTGTCTATATGTAAAGTCCATTTCAGATGTTTTAACATGACAAGTTTTTGGTAAGTAAAAGCTAATTTACTTTTTTAGATTATTCAACTCTGATAACTTTTTTTAGATTTCTATGTAGAAAACCAAGTTCTTGCCACAGTCATTTATTCGTCAGTTTTTTTTTCTGCCAGAAACTTCAAAATAATTGACAGTGGAGGTTTGGTGTATCTTGACTGAGGTTATAAAAAAATATGTAAAACTACTGTTTCTTAACAAAAGGTATTTAAGAGGCTGAGATTTTAACTAGTCTTTATTTCTTTTGACAGTGCTCATCGTTGATCAAAGTTGTGTTTGGACAATATTTCCAGGAAACTGAGTTGTAAGCCACTGGTGCTGAGCCAGAGTAGGTCACAATTTCCATCCATGGACTGGGAATAACTCTAGGAATTGGTTGAAGTTTACAATGTTGGAACCATGATCTTCTGTAAATGAATCTACTTCACCTCTGACCAGCAAGTGATGTTTCCAATCAGCATTATGGAGTCCTGTAGCTCAATGGTTAGAACACTCACCTCGCAAGCAAGAGACCTGGGTTCGATTCCCGGCAGGACGAAACCTTGGGCAAGTTTCCTTACTCCATATGCCTGATAATAATCTCTCAAGAAAAAGAACAATAATAAATTGGTCACTTCCAACTTCAATCCACGACAGTTTGTGGAACACTGCTGTGTGCAATTGGCTGTTGCATTTCACCCACAAATATACAGTCAATTCACTTTACAGTGTATTCTGTAAAGTGCTTTGAGATATCTAGAAGACATGAAAAGTGCTATATCAAATGCAAGGATTATTATTTATTGTTATGATGTACTTCATTGATCTGCTCATCCAAATAAATTGCTGAAAAGTGCCGTAATTACTTCAAAACCACTGAATCTTTAAGTGTGTGGTGGGCAAAAAGGAAAATGGAGAGAAATATATCTATGTGGAGTCCTGTAGCTCAGTGGTTAGAGCACTCGCTTTGCAAGCGAGAGACCTGAATTCAATTCCAGGCAGGGTGAAACCTTGGGCAAGTTTCCTTACTCCACACGCCTAATAATAATCCCTCCAAAAACAATAAAAATTGGTCATTTTCACTCTATGACTGTTTGTGGGACATTGCTGTGCACAATTGGCTGCTGCGTTCACCCACAAATATACAGTCAATTCACTTTACAGTGTGTTCTGTGAAGCGCTTTGGGACGTCCTCCCGACGTGAAAAGCGCTATAGCAAATACAAGGATTATTATTATTATGCTGCCTTTGATTTATACATGGATATGTTATGTAGTGCAGAGCCAATGTTCTGACTACAGAATTAAATAAGATGAATGTATAGTGATGTTTTGAACTTAATTCAGTTTGGCTAGTTAGACTAATTGTGATTCCTCTTTACTTGACCGTTCATTGTTATAAGAATAATCCTTGCATTTGATATAGCACCTTATTGCATTGAGATATCTCAAAGCTTATCACAGAATGCATTGTAAAATTAATTTAAATCCAATGCTGACCTTATTTCTAAATTACCAAGTTAAACACCTGCATTGACCTAAGGGCAATTCAAGTTTATTTTGTTAGAACCGTGTGTTGAGTTTCATTGCAATATATAGCCCTGTGATGTAATTTGAAGTACTGTGAAGCTTATGACCAAGTGTTCATTTTCTGCTATGCCTTGAACTTTTAGTCCATGAGTAAGCATTGCTAAAGGCTGAACCAGTGTTGTTTTGGCCCCATTTTAATTTTTTCTGGAATGTATTACTGGCATTTGTTATTGGGACATGCCATTGATGTTACCGTTGGCAAAATGAGGATATTTTTACCTCTTGCTTTTTTTTTTGCATTGAATTTTTTAAACAAATCTTTTGCACAAGGGTGTGCAGATCAATTTTTATACTTTAATAAAATGTGTTTTTTACAAACTTCTGTTTGAGTTTTTCCTCAAATACCTATTGACTCCTGTCAGCACTTCCTCACTTCCGGCCCTGACAGCATCACCGTCCATGGTTGCACATACCACCTTGCTAAGACAGTCTGGAATCTTGGGGTCTTGTTTGACTCTCACTATTCTTTCTACCCCACATCTATATAATAATAATCCTTGCATTTGATATAAAGCTTTTCACATCCTCCAGATGTCTCAAAGCACTTCACAGAATATACTGTACAGTGAATTGACTATCTGTGGGCAAAATGCGGCAGCCAAATTGCACACAGCAGTTTCCCACAAACAGTCATGGATTGAAGTGATCAATTTATTATTGGATTTTTTTTTTCTTGATGGATTATTATTAGGCGTGTGGAGTAATGAAACCTGCCCACGGGTTTGCCCTGCTGGGAATCAAACCCAGGTCTCTCGCTTAACAGGTGAGTGCTCAACCACTGAGCTACAGGACTCCACAACAAATAGTCAAAATGGATTTATGAAAGGAAGGTCACCAACCTTTCTTGGGATTCTAGTGATCATTAAGGTGGACAGTTCCTATTATCTCAGGATACAGTATATAGTTTAGGACACATGTCAAGCGACTGCCAAGATGGTGGAAGGAGAACTAGATGGACCTTGGTCTTGTTTCACCTAGCAAATTCTTATGATTCAGATTCACAAGACTAAAGGAGCAGCACTGGTGGACAAGACTGTAAAATAGCCACTACACTTCACATTGAATCCTGTGAAGCACTTTTGAGACGTCCTCCTGAAGTGAAAGACACTATCACATGGAAATATTATTTTAATAGTAGTATTAGTATTAGATCTTTATTAGATTAAAGCTTTTCTCTCTCAAGATGAGACGATTGACAAGGGATCTGATAGAGGTGATTAAGATTATGAAAGGAGTCATTGAGTTGGACATACATAGTCTCATTCCATTTTTTTTTGGTGAGTTCAGAACAGAGGGGCATAAATAGAACATAGCGCAAAAAATTTAAAAGGGAATTTAGGAGGAACTTTCCCCAGCAGGAGGTGTAGATGTGGAAACATTGCTGGAAGCTGTAGTTAAAGCAGAGAGCATAATGTATGTTAAGAGGAAACTTAGTACATACATGAGGAAGAAGGGTATTGAGGAATATGAGAGAAAGATTAGGTGGGATAGAGGTTCACGTGGAGTATAAATACCAACACCAGTCTATCTGCGCCATGATTCGCGCTGCCTTCCTCCACAACATCGTCCAGGTCTGCCACTGTCTCACACCGCAGGCTACCAAAACCCTCATACATACTTTCATTACATTGAGGCTCCACTATGCAAACTCATTCCTTGTCAGCCTACTCCCTCCGCGGGCTGCAGATCATCCAGAACTCTGCAGCCCGTGTCCTCTCCCGCACTATGCTCCGTGACCCTATCACCCCCATCCTTGCCCAATTCCACTGGTTTTCCATCACACAGAGGATACAGTTCAAGATCCTGGCCTCAACTTCAAAGCCCTCCATGGCCTTGCTACCCCCTACTTCTGCGACCTCCTAAACCCCTACCACCCTGTTCGCCTGCTTCACATCCCCCACCTCGCTCCCCCACTATTGGTGGGCAGGCCTTCTGCCACTCTGCCCCCACCCTCTGGAACTCCATCCCACAGTCCCTCCGCCTCGTTCCCTCCCTTGCCACCTTCAAGACCCTCCTCTTCAACCATGCTTTCGATCTCCCTGCTTCCCCCACCACCACCCACCCCACCCCGACCCCCAGCTCGGGTCCTTAACTCTGTCCAGCACCTTGGGACGTCCTCCTGATGTGAAAGGCACTTGTCGAGAAGACGTGAAAAGCGATATGTCAAATGCAAAGATTATTATATTACATTATTATAAATGTAATTTTGTTGTTCTTGCATTGAGTGCTTTTCTGATCATGAGTGCAGAGATGATTCATATGATTTCTAATGATTTGAGTTGGACTGAGTGGAATGTGTCCAGAGTTTGACGAAGGGGAAGAGAAATGTTGAACTGATTTCTTTGCTGATTTCACGCTAATTTCAGCTATGATTGTGGTTGGTATATCAACTGCTGCTACAACAACCTGCGTTTATATAAACCCTAACCCTTTACCCCCCTCATGTAGAGTAATGTGAGGTTTACAGCAGTAGGGAGAGGAGTGAAGAAGAGGTAACCATTGGCTTAGGTGATGAGGAGGTAGGTTTTAAGGTGAGACTGGAAGACAGAAGTTGGTGGTTGAGAAAGTCTGGCCATTGATGATGCTGGGTTGTGTGGTGAGTCTGAGCAGGAGATTAGAAAGTTGCTGGGATGTGAAGTCATGTTTGTAGTTGATGAAGCCCTTACCCTTGTGCAGTTCCTGGAGACTGGTGAGGCAGGTTCCTGAAAAGGCTTGAGATTTTCAGGCAAAATGGGGGCAGATTTGTAGGGTTGCAGAGAGCAGGTACTGGGTTATGATCAGCTGATCCAAGCTGTCAAATCACCAAGATGCTGGGCTCTGTGGTGGTAAATATCAGGAGCCAATTGCAGGTGCTGGGAAACCATTAACAGGGCACTCAAGAAATTTCCTCTATAGCCAGCCCCCTTCCCTGTACTAGGTGATGGTCATGTGGATTTACAATTTAAGTTGCCAAGTCAGTTTCTGGATGGCCTTAGCATATTTCTACCAACAGCTTTAACTTTTGATTGTTTTTTACAGACAAGATAAACAGTTCAAGAAAGAGGTTGATATCACATTGAGGTTAATTACACATTAATAATCCCTTCAAAAATAATAATAATTTGGTAACTCAATCCACGGGAATGTTTGTGGGACACTGCTGTCCACAATTGGCTGCCGCATTTCGTCCACACAATATAGTCAATTCACTTTACAATATATTCTGTGAAGTACTTTGAGATGTCTCGAAGATGTGATACATCAAAATGCAAGAATCATTCTCAAATTATCTCAAATTCAAAACAACTCTGACTTGGGTTTGTTGTTTTTTATTAAAATTGAATAGAATAATGTTAGAAAACAATTAATAATGGGAAGAAACTCTGAAAAATCTTGCCCATGTAAAATTGTTACTCTGTAAAATCTTGGCTGTGTATGAAATCTTTGCAGTCAGAGTTTTACATTTCATGTTGAAATCCTAGTTATACTTGTTAAATACAATTCAGTAAGTATTCCAGATTTTCTACTAATAAACATGATTAATATAAACCTTAAAAAGGTTTATATCTGGCGGGACCTCCTCAAAATCTACCGCTCCACTCTAGCCTCGGCCAAATCGTCCTTCTACTCCAGGATAATCCTGGAGGCGAAGGACAACCCCAGGCTACTGGTATCTACCACATCCCAACTCCTCCGTCCCCCCCGCCACCCCGCGCAGGTCATCTCCTCCAACCTTCACTGCGAGGAGATGCTGGATTTCCTTGAATCCAAGATCAAGGGAATCCGCTCCGCGGTCACTTCCCCTCCAACATCCACCCACCCCCCACCCCCTCCCTCCCACACTCCGACTCCTACCCATCCTCCCCTACACACCTTCGTACCCGTTTCCCCACCCTCTGTCACCAAACTCATCCTATCCCTGAAACCTACCACCTGCTCCCTTGACCCCATCCCCACTCCACT